CTTATGTATAACTCTGTAAAAATAACGTGTATATTGATATAGAAGACAAATAAATTTAATATATATATAATAGATATAATTCTTAGATATAGATTTTGCATTTAGATTTAGTGTGTCCCCCTCGATGTGAGAAAAATGCACAAAATATGAAGATAGTGCCATTTTTTCCGTCAAATTTTTCCATTTGGCACCCCATAAAAATGATCGTTGAGCTACATAGGCTACAGAAAAACAATTGTGTAACATTTGAAGAGTTAGATCTAGGAATGCAACCTGAACATGAGGAAGTTAAAACAAAAAAACTTTTTTACTAAAACCAAAAGCAAACGTGGCAGAAAGTTACAGAACTGAGACAGAAACACCAGACGTGGCACATAAAGACATAAAATTATCTACTGATTTTTAAACTGATACAGAGGGRTGAGGTGAACGTGGAGACCACAAACAGCTGAGCCTAAAGAGGCAGATCAGGTGTGCATGGGTGTGGCAGGACTAAGGAGCTGAACTCATAAACTCATTTATAAACACATTTACAAAAAGGTAAGATACTGACAAATAAAAGATGAGGTTGCTACGGATTTTATTTTTAAAGGCACACTATTTTTAGCAGCATGGAAATAACATGTAAATAGGCTGTGAGGACACAGTGTCTCTTCAAGCTGGTATTAACCAAAACACTGATCACCAAGAAATATATGTTACTAGACTTTTGTCAGATATTTACCTGAAAATCAAAAACAGACAGTCATGTCATAGAGRTTGTTGAGAGTTGTGGCGGTGCAAATAAATAAAATGACTTGTCAACAGTTTGGCTGCCTTCCTTTCTTTTTTTATTTAACGGGTTTATGTCACTAACAGTTTACATTGAAGATATTGCAGAGCTAAGTCACGGGTGAGTCCATAGAGGAGCTCAGGAGCCACAGGTAAGTAAGTAAGTAAGTAAGTAAGTAAGTAAGTAAGTAAGTAAGTAAGTAAGTAAGTAAGTAAGTAAGTAAGTAAGTAAGTAAG